AGAGGAAACATGCAGTTTTCTTCAGGCCTCACTGATTACAGATGAAGACAAATTCAACACAGCAATTGAAGCCAACAGGTCTCAACTTGATCTTCCTGGTCAATATGGCTCAGTATTATACTTGGCTTTACACTTATGACCAACAGATACAACCAGAAAATCCAAAGACATTTATTAAACTGGAGTCCATGAGAGCCATTAGTTATCAAACGTCATAAATAAACATCTCTAGGAACAGATTACATGGTTATTATTACTTTGCCAATTGCAGAACCTTGTTGCACACAAACAGACTGCTTTTGAAATTACGAAGGACCCTGTATTTCAAAACTCCATTCGCTGTAAAGTGCTTTATGGTGTCCAAAGATGGTAGAAGATGCTGTATGAATATCTGCTATTACTTATTTTGAAATATTTCCAGTGACAACATACTTAACTTTGTTACCTTGTCAACTATTTCTCACAGTTGTGTAGACACAACCTGGATCACAGAAATACTGGGTATTTCTGGGAAAGTACATCTGGGTCATAACAGCAATTCACAGATGCACACAGTACCAAACATCCAACCCAAGTAAACTGCAAGTCTAAAACTGTTTATTTTCATAGACTTGTGCCAATGGCTGAATACAATCCTAACTTTACACCAGTGGATGGATGCTTCAAATGGCCTGTGAAAAAGTGACAAAATGGCACGGATTGGCATATGTATGATTGAAGGATGCATTAAACCATTTCCCCAGATAACAGCGTAGCTGCTAAGACAGTTATAAAAGTGGAATAAGGAGAAAAAAAAACAGAAAAAGCATGAAAATGAGAATTAAGAACCAGCTCCATTGAAGGGTTATTTATCATGGGGCTAAATGGTTCCTTGCATTATATTTTTTAGGAGACAAAAAAATTGAAGTGAAGAACTCAGCAAAAGATTACTTTATTATTGCACAGAAAACATATCTTAGTGTTTATGACTCACGTTCATTTACTTTAAGCTTTGGAAAATAAGATTCTAATATACTTGGTCTCAAAGAAGCTTGGAGAACTGTTTATAAACAGTCAATTCCACGTTGAGAGAGACAGGTTTAAATATACACAACCTAGTTTTGAGACTTGTGATCAATGTTCATTGCCAAATATGAATAAATATAAACTGCAGAGGACAAAACTCAAATTACACAATAGGCAAAATCTAGTTTTAATTGGCTTGAGCTTTCACTGAATTTAATGCACCGTATTAAAAATTATAAGAAAACTTGAAGCAAATATCCTCTGATTGCATAAATAAATCTACCACACTTCAAGGGGCACTTGAGTACAGGCTTATTAATATACTCTATCGTTCTAAGATCTCGATGGGCGGGGGGCAGATGAAATAAGATAGCTTAGAAATGCCAGCATGATATAGCAAATACTGCAGCAGAATGTTCTGAGAGCAGTCCAGTCTCCATCACCTCTAGATCCCTCCAGGAAAACGGGCCTTGTGCGTTTATGGCGTTTTCCAGATTGGGGAAGGGGGGAGAATAAACAAGGATACAAATATAAATAAACGTGAGGAATAAAAAGGGACTGTCAAGCTTGGTAGCTGCAAAACGGTTGGGCTTTCATAGTCCAAGTGAATTCGGATATTCCCCCGCATTTAATGGGCTGAAGGCAAAGACACACGCTGATGGGGAATGGCCAGGGGTTTAATGCCCAGTTGGATTGAATACAGAGAGGCTGCAGCATGGCGCCTATGGCCTACGCGTGGTTCCCATTAGGAGGGGGAGGGAACGCTCAGAAACCCCGCGCTCACTCGGCCCCGAGGCCTAACCGTCACTTTCCATTTTGGTCACATAAACATCTGGGTTAAAAGCCCGCCGATAGGGAGGAAAAAAAATTTAAAGCGGATTTCAAGGGATGGGGCGGCGGGGGGGGGGAAGTGGAGAAGGACTGGAGTTGGGGTGGGTAGAGAAAAGCCTGTGATTCTCCCTCACGCCAGGCCTCGGTCTCGCCTACCTTCCATCTCCATCTCCTCGGGCTCGCTGAGGTGCTGTTCATTCTGCTCGCTCGGCTTGGTGCAGTGGTTCATGGTCTCGGAGAAGGCCTCGGCCCTCCTGGCGGCGTCGGCGGCCGGCGGCTGGGACGACGTGAGGGACGGCTCGCGGCTGGCAGGAACGGAAACCCGGACGTATTTGCTCGCTATGCGCCCAATCTCGGCCGAGTGCTGCGCTCGAAGCTCCCTCCCCCCTCTCCGCTTGTCACGGCAAAGGGGGAACTCGCCTCGACCTGCCCCGAGAAAGGTGCGGGGAGAGCCAGCGCCTCTTCCCCTCCCCGGCTGGGTTTTTCTTCCCCTGGTAAGAGTGGTTGGGATGGGGGGGGTTGTGGTGGTGGTGCGGGAGGGAGAGGTGAAGGGACAAGAGGGGGCTGCGGACGGAGGGAGTGCGAAAGAAATGAAATTAGCGGATTTTTATTCCGTGGAAAAGGGGAGGCGGGAGGGCGAGTTTTGTACTTTTGAAAAAAAAATGTATGGGCGCCGGGGCTGTTTGTGTGTATGTGTTGGTGGGGGGGTGGGGAATGTGTGTATGTGAGGGAGGGGGGGGTGTAAGGGATGGGGATGGGGATTAGGAGGGGAGGGGGATCAGGAGGAGAGGGGGGGGGGAGGGGAAAGGGGAGGTGGGTGGGAGCAGGAGGTGGGGGTTTTGGTTGATTGTGACTTGTCGTCGTCCCTGTGGCGGGGTTGACGGCCGCCGGGCCCCAAGACGGCGGGTCGCGGTGGTCCTCCTCACTTCCTCGGGCTGCACAGTCCTCGTCTCTTTCCTTTCGGTTTACACCCCCCTCCTCCTCCTCCTCCTCTCTCTTTTTTTTCCTGACTCTCCCTCTCTTCTCTCTTTTTTTCCTTCCACCCCCCCCACTCTGTCTCTGTCGCTGGCCTCCGTTCTCCTCGGCCCCGCTGGCTCCGCACGGTGGAGAAAATGGCGGCGCGACGCAGATGTCAGCTCGGCACCGCGCAGGCGCGACTTACCGGCTCTGGGGGAGGAAGGGGCGGGCCAGCTTGGGGAAGGGGGCGGGGTCGGGTGGGAAGGGGCGGGACTTTAGGGAGGCGGGGTGGGCCGTCTGACGTCATGGCCATCCACCACATCTCCAGCATTCCCAAGTGTGTGTTGGGCAATAAGCATGGGGTTGCTCCTGGAATAGCCCATTCAGCCCCTTGCTCCACCACTCAGTGAGATCCTGACTGATCTGTGGCCTTACAGATAGTAGGAACTGCAGATGCTGGAGAATCTGAGATAACAAGGTGTAGAGCTGGATGAACACAGCAGGCCAAGCAGCATCAGAGGAGCAGGAAGGCTGACGTTTCGGGCCTAGACTTACTCCGCCTAACCTTCTCCAGTGAAGAAGGTTCGCTGGACTGGAAACGTTAATTCTGCTTTGTCTCCACAGAAAACAACAAATGCTGGAGATCGCAGTGGGTCATTCAGCATCCATGGAGAGAGTGCAAGCTAATGTATCGAGTCAAGATGATTCTTCATCAGAGCTGACATGAAGTCGTAGAGTCATACAGCATAGAAACACATCCAAGTCTATGTCGACCAACAAACACCAAACTACACTGATCCAATTTACCTGCACTTGGTCCGTCAGCCACTATGTCCTGGCATTTTAAGTGCTTGTCCAAGCACCTTCCTCCACCACTGTCTCGGGCAGCACATTCAGTATTTCTACCACCCTCTGGATGAAAATTTCAGATCTTCACTAAACCACTTACTCCTTACCTTAGACTTATGCCCTCCAGTCTTAGACACATCTGCCATGGGGAAAAGATTTTCATAATCCACTCTGACTATGCTTTTCATAATTTTATGTACCTCAGTCAGATCCTCCCTCAACCTCTCCTGCTCCAAGCATAACAAACTCAGCCTATACAAGCCTCTCCATCCAACAGACTTTTCATTCCAGGCAACATCCTGGTGAATCTCCTCTGCACTCTTTAAGGTGCAATCATGCCTTTCTGGTAGTGTACATCCAGAACTGCACACAGTACGCGTCTATGGCCTAACCAACGTTGTATAAGTCTGTTGAGTTTCTCCGGTAATTTTTGTTTTTCTTCTATATATCTATCTTTGGCCCATATCCCTTTCTACCTTTGCTTAACGAAAATCTATCTGTCTCAGATTTAAAATTAACAACTGATATGGCATCGACTGCTGTTTGTGAAAGAGAGTTCCAAACCTCTTACCACCCGTTGTGTGTAAAAGTGCTTCCTAATTTGTCTCCTGAATGCTCTGGCCCTAACTTTTAGACTATGCACTGGTTAGCAATCCAGAACCCCAGGCGAATGTTTTGGAGACATGGATTTGATTGAATTCAATTTAAAATCTGCACTTAAATGCTAGCAATGGGCTATGCATGTAAATTGAAAAATTGGAAAGACAAGTCGTTTAATGGTGATGGTTAATAGTTGAAAAACACCATGGCTGATTTGTTGGTCTGAGAAAAGCCATTCAGTTGTATGTGATAGCACTTCCAGATAAAGAAGAAAATGAATTAAAAGCTGGTTTAATGAGACCGTTGGCAAATTTTGTAAAGAACCATGGGGTTCAATGATGACCTTCAAGGAAGGCAATCTGCTATCTTTATCCAGACTGGCCTACATATGACTCTATTCAATTAGAAATCTGGAATTAAGAGGTAATGTAATGGCAGCTATCATCAATTCTTGTAAAGACCCATCTGGTTCACAAACACCCTTCAATCTGCTGTCCTTACCCATTCCGTCCAACTGGTGGCCCAGACCCAGAGAGGTGTGGTTGACTCTTAGCTGCACCCCCCAGACATTAAGAGATAGGCAATAAGTGCTGGCCGAGCCAGCGACACTCAAGTCCCATGAACGTATAACAAAAAAAAATGGAGCTGACACACGTCCCAGCTACAATTGTCTGCCCGCTGAGCAATATTATATTCCTACACCCTCTCCCCACATGCTGCCATTGTCATTTCTCCCTGAACAATTCCAAAAGTAAAACAAAAATGACTTTCAAAGAAGAATCATGAATTTGTGTGTCATCCTTGCGCAGGGGCTGTGCTAATCTTCTCTGTATGCTTCCAATTTTAGTATATGTGCTGCTGAAGCAAGGACTCCCTCCCCACCAGCACCATTGGTATATCTACCTACCCTTTACCAGTGCATTGACGAAAGCAGCTCAAGAAGTTATCTCACCACTGCCATTTCAAAGGCAATTAGTGTCATAGAAATGTACAGCTTGGAAACAGACCCTTTGGTCCATCTCGTCCATGCCGACCAGATATCCTAAATTAATGTAGGCCCATTTGCCAGCATTTGGCAAACCCCTTCCTATTCATGTGCCCATCCAGATGCCTCTTAAATGTTGTAATTGCACCAACTTCCAACAATTCCTCTGGCAGCTCATTCCATACACACACTACCCTCTGCGTGAAAAAGTTGCTGCTTGGTTTCTTTTTAAATCCTTCCCTCTCCCCTTAAACCTGTGCCCTCTAGTTTTGGACACCTGTACCCTGGGGAAAAGACTGTTCATTCTATCCATGCCCCTTATGATTTAATAACCTTCTATAAGGTATCCCTATAGCTCAAACCCTCCAACTCTGGCAACATGCTTATAAATCTTTTCTGAACCATTTCAAGTTTCACAAGAGTTTTCCTGTAGCAGGAGACTAGAATTGAACATAGTATTCCAAGACTGGCCTAACCAATGTCATGAGTAGCTGCAACATGACCTCCTACACTCAATGCACTGACGAATAAAGGCAAATTAGGCAAACACAATACATACTGGCAAAGCTTGCGATACCCACGTCACAAGAACGAATACATTTTTTCAGAAGTGTTGTTGGAATCAACCAAATTAAGGGAATGGATGAAGAATCCAGAGGACAATATGTTCAAATTCCACCACAGCAGTTTGAGAATGTAATATTAAGGATGAAGGAAATGTGTTTGGAAATATTTTTAAAATGTTAGTGCCTGTGAAAGTGGCCATGAAGTTGTGGGTGTAAAAAATCAAGTTTTCTTCATGTTCTGTTCTAAAGGAATCCGATGTGGACAGACTGTGACTCTGGCAAGGCCAACTGCCTTCTGAAGCTGTCATTGTATTAAGTTGCGGAGAGTATTTAACAGTCTCCACACAGACTGCCATGACTCAGTCAAAAAAGCCCCCATCATCTTCCTAGGGAAACTAGGGATTGGTACTAACTGTTGCTCTTGCCTGAGATCATAAGACGTTGGAGCAGAAGTACAATGAAACTTAGAAGACAGGAGCAGGAGTAGGCCATACAACCCTTTGAGCCTGTTCTGCAATTCATTATAAGCATGGCTGATCATCGAGCTCAATATTGGGAGGCGATGGCCTAGTGGTATTATCACTGGATTGTTAATCCAGAGACCCAAGTAATGTTCTGGGGACCCAGGTTTGAATCCCACCATAGCAGATAGTGGAATTTGAATCCAATAAATGTCTGGAATTAAGAATCTAATGATGACCATGAATCCATTGTCGATTGTTGGGGAAAAACCCCATCTGGTTCATTAATGGCCCTTTAGGGAAGGAAACTGCCATCCTTACCTGGTCTGGCCTATATGTGGCTCCAGACCCACAGCAATGTGGTTGACTCTGAAGTGCCCTCTGGGCAATTAGGGATGGGCAATAAATGCTGCCTAGCCAGCGATGCCCTCATCCCGTGAATGGATTAAAAAAAAATCCTAATCCCACACACCCCTCATATCCATTGATCTCTTTATCCACAAGCACTCAATCACTTTCTGTGGCAATGAATTCCACAGGCTCACCACTCACTTGGTGAAGAAAGTTCTCCTCATTGTCAGTCCTAAAATGTTTACCCACTTATCCTCAAACTATGACCCCTAGATCAGGACTCCCCGACAGTCAGGAACATCCTTCCTGCAACTAATCTGTATAGCCCTCTGAGAATTTTAAGGGTTTCTATGAGATCTCCCCTCATTATTATAAATTCCAGAGAACACAATTCTAACTGATTACATCAGTCCTGCCATTCCAGGAATCAATTTGGTAAAACTTTGCTTCAATCCCTCTATGGCAAGAACATTCTTGCACACAATATTACAGGTGTGGCCTCACCAATGCTCTGTATAATTGCAGTAAGATATTGTCATTGCTGCACTTGAATTCTCTCACTATGAAGGCCAATGTACAGTTTGTCTTCTTTACTGCCTGCTGCACCAAAATACTTGCTTTCGGCAACTGGTGCATGAGGTCACCCAGGTCTTGTTGAACATTCCACTCTCTCAATTTACAGCCATTCAAATAATTATTTCACCTGCACATCTGCCAATGTGGTATACTGCATCCGCTGTACCCGTTGTGGCCTCCTCTACATCGGGGAAACCAAGCGGAGGCTCGGGGACCGCTTTGCAGAACACCTACGCTCGGTTCGCAATAAACAACTGCACTTCCCAGTCGCGAACCATTTCAACTCCCCCTCCCATTCCTCAGACGACATGTCCATCCTGGGCCTCCTGCAGTGCCACAACGATGCCACCCGAAGGTTGCAGGAACAGCAACTCATATTCCGCTTGGGAACCCTGCAGCCCAATGGTATCAATGTGGATTTCACAAGCTTCAAAATCTCCCCTCCCCCTACCGCATCCCAAAACCAGCCCAGCTCGTCCCCGCCTCCCTAATCTGTTCTTCCTCCCACCTATCCCCTCCTCCCACCTCAAGCCGCACCCCCATCTCCTACCTACTAACCTCATCCCGCCCCCTTGACCTGTCCGTCCTCCCTGGACTGACCTATCCCCTCCCTAACTCCCCACCTACAC